GCTGAAGAAGTTCTAATAACGTAATAATATTTCCCTCATCAGATCCTTGGTACAAAATGGATTAAGAATAAAGCCTCGACTGGGGAAACATTGTCTACAATGAACCAGACAAGCACATAGTATCAGTAGTCTTATCTGAGTCAGAGAAGATTCATTTAGAAATCATCATTGTTACAGTGGTACTTTAAGAAAGCCTAAACCCTGAAAGTAGAACCTGTCAAAGCCTTTAGGGCTGCACAGAAGCCACGTTGTTATTATCATTCCCTCTGTCGTGTTCCCACAGTGCGACAAAGAGAAACTAAACCGTGTCCATGCAAATGTTGTTTCCAGTTTACTTTTTAAAATTCAAAAACGAGCTAATTTGTTTCAAGAGAACTTACCTGTCGCTTTTCAAAAGCATCGATGGAGCCTGTGTAGGTTCAGTCGTGTGAACTCCTGCACACATGCACACGTCCACGCATAATTCCCACGACACGATTCATCCGTCGGCGATCAGTCCCAAACCGTGGAAGCGTCTCTCACTGTTTTCTTCTCTGTTGGTGCTGCCTCTTCCTCCTCGTCTCCTCTCCTCTGTCCTCACTAGATCTGCTTCTTGTGCGCCGTATCCACCTGCCTCTTACACAAGAGCATCGTCCGTGGCGCCAGGCGTGTGCGCGCGTGTGTGTGTGTGTGTGTTTATGTGTGTGTGGGGGAGCGTGTCGAGGTGCGTACAGGAAATCTGGATTTTTGATATGTGACATCACACCAAAGGACACCGTGAGGACACGCCTCCAGAGGAGCGGGAGGAGGCCAGAGGCCGCGTAGTCTTCCTTCATATTCAGTATTTATCTATTATTTATCTGTCTTTTTTTTCTTCATTCTATGCCAGCATGACTGCAGGGCAGCAGCTGGTTTCACAGGATGCCGGACCAGACAGTTCCTGGACAGGGAATTAGCCTTTTGTCTGGTTCGTGAGGACGCGTTCGCATGTGTGTGTGTGCGAGTGTGTGGCTGCATGTCTGTACAGAAGAGCTTCTGTCGTCAGAAATGACACGGTACGCTTAAGTATGAAATATCAGAATCAGGCAGACAAACCAGTCAAACATCTCTTTCACAACACACACACACACACACAGCAGATTCACACGCACAAAGACACAGGCGTAGCTGTGAATTTGAGGAATGGCATCTGCCGTCAGACGTGGAACAAACAAGATCTCAGGGCGACACCTTCAGTCTCAGTGTGCCTTACCTTGTGTGCGGTGTGTGTGTGTGTGTGTGTGTGTGTGTGCTCCTGTTCAGGCGTCAGATAATTAAGTAGTCGACATTCTCCACAAGGGGGCAATAAAGACAACAGCGATTTATTTTTTCCAATACAGATCAGGAGTCAGCCTTTGTTCATTTTTACTGAGAGGTAACAAAACGGTATCAGATCAGTGGAGCGGAGCAGAACTGCAGCATGTTGCTGCTCTTCTTCGGTGACACAGCATTTTCAGGTGAGTTATCTTCAGTCTGTGTGTGTGTGTGTGTGTGTGTGTGTGTGTGTGTGTGTGTGTGTGTGTGTGTGTGTGTGTGTGTGTGTGTGTGTGTGTGCGTGTGCACAGTTCAAGCTCAACTGAATCAAAATCACACCAGAAAGCTTTCACCTCTCTTCCCCTTTCTGCAATTACTCAAAGAAATACAAAAAAGTATCTTTCTACACAAAGGAGGACATCAGAGCATTTTGTCAAGGAGGGCTTTGAGTGCATAAATGCGATGTGAAGACGTTATATTCCATCTACCAGTCTCCGAGGCTCCGTTTACATGCGTCCCTCGGTGATCCGAAGACAAAGATGAGATGCACTTGCATTCAAAAAAGCTCTTTTGTAGTGTTATCAAGCACTGTAGGACACCAGGCATTCACCCATTCGCACACACACACACGCGTACGCTGGTAGCAGAGGGGTCACACAAGGTGCCGTCCTCTCATCAGGATCGATCGCTCAGGACTCCAAAAACGCTTTGCTTTCTAACCGGCTGGAGGCAGAAACGTACTCGTGTGCCAGTCTGCCGGAAATGAAAAATGTGAAGAAATCAAAAACAGTGAAGGCCGAGAATATTTGTTTGCGCGTTCCAGCTGCATCAAATGGATCAAGATATTTGACGCACTTGCAATCCATCTCCGGGGGGGGGGGGGGGGGCCTGCCGGGATCCTTCAGGCATTGTGGGTAAAGTTTGCTTATCAGATTTCACATCTGGCGATGAGTCAAATGAAACGGGAACAAAGTCTCTTGACCCCCGACACGACGCAGCGGCGTGGACGCTAGAGAAGAGGCGCGGCCCAATGTGTTCCCGTCAGCCTCGCCAAGCGCTCTGAGCCATCGGGATGCGAGGCGTCCTGCGCTGGCGTTTCAGCGCTGGGCCCTTGTGAGCAGAGGTCACAGATATGGAGTTTCAGGATGAGCCTGGTATCCTGCCAAAATGTCCCGTGAGTGAGATCCTCCTGTCCGCCCAAAATGAAAAGGATGGATGAACAGCACGCGCACATCTTTAGAGTATTACTTACAGCCGGTCACACAGCGGCTGACTGATGGAATGAGGTTAATTGCGGTTCAGCTTACAAATTTCTACACAAAGCTGCTCTAACTATTGGTTTGTTACAAAAGACGGGATATTTCTTCTACATATTGGCCCTGAGGTCAAGAAATTCAACTGAACTCAAAATGCATCCAAGTGAAACAAGAGATTTCTCAAAACCAAAACAAAACTTTCCTTTTTTACAATCACAAACATGTTTACTTCAAACAAACACAACCCAGGTAGAGCTAATAAACATTCAACAGTTTGTTACTGACTCAAAATCAGCTATTAAAAGTAAACAGAATAGTTCAATAAGTTCAATGTCACCACAACTGTGGGCACCAAAGGGGGGGTTTGGTTTGGGGGGGGGTTACAAGAGCTGCTGGTCTCAAAAAGATGCTTATTAAACTTAAATGCAAAATCATACCGTGTCGGCGGTGTAATTAAGAAAATTGTCAAAATGGTCAAAAGATAAATTGAAGACGAGTGAGTGACATCGCCAGCGACACCAGCAAATACCTCAAGCAGCCAGATTGTGTTTAGCGCTACTTAGCAAACGTTAGCATGCAAATTCTCTCAACTTCAGTCATGCAAAATGTCGCCAAATTATTTGTAAATCTTTGTGACCTGGTCGAATCCAATTTTGTACCCTTAAAGCGCTAAAAGCGTGTTACATTTACACACTCGTTCAAAATGTCAGTTCTTTTTTTTCTCTTTTCTCCGGCTCCGGCTGCACGGTTTGGACCCAAGCGGCCACCGAGGAGGCAGCAGCGAGCTCCGTCCTGATTGACGTGTGGGGGGGGGGTTGGTGTCTGCCTCGCCAGTCGCCACGTCCTCTGTGTTCCTGCCCTTAGGGGCTCAATCTTAGGTGTGAACCATCGGGCTGCTGGTCACAAAGAGAAAGGCCATTTTATTTTCGTCCTGATTAAAGAATTGTTTCGTTTTCCACCTCCTGGTGAAGCCTTTTTTCTTCCCAGGAACGAGAAGTTCCCTTTGTGTGCAGATCATACTTAGACAGACTTCGACAAAAGACGACGCGGCAACGGCCTGGAGGTCGCCCGCGTGCTCTCGGAGGGCTGGCGAGGGATTCTAGCGGCGCCGCCTGCACGCCGAGAACTGAACAATGCCTCCATTCAGGCGAGTGTCAGCGAGGAGCCCGGATCAACAATAGGAAGCCCTCCCACACACTGAGGCCTTCGACCGCTGAGATGAATCAAGGAATGAAAGAGTAAAAAGAGCCTGCGCCTTCGCCGGGGAGAAACAGAACCATGGAGCATTCAATACATTCCATTCAAAGCGATGCACGCGGTGATGAAGGGGAGGCGGTGGTTTAGGAGTCGGCCTCAGCTTGTAGGCCACCTTATGAATCAGTATTTAAGTGGACGGTGACCGTGAACGCAACTTGTGTTTGTATGCATGCAACAGTGTTGTGCATAAGTGGGCTTTGTGTTCGGTTTGAGGATCCATCGCATGTAGTAGAGGCCTGATCAGCACTTCCACAGACTGCACACGTTAGTTATCCAAGAGCGCGGTTAACCCTGCCGATAAAGCTAGCATCATTAGCAGGAATCCAACACAGATATTGAGGACTCGGGTCTTTGGAATCATTGATCTGAGCATCGTGGGTGATTTAGGTTAAAGGGTCGAGCACTCACTGTCAAGACATTTAATTGGGACTATTTTTTCTGTGGAAAGAAGTGGGACCGAAAGCTGAAAGTGAACACACCCCTCCCGCGTTGCCGTACGTTGCAGATTGGTGGATGGATGATGAATGTCGCAATGTTGTTGGTTGTAAAATGTAAAAGCACACACATTTAGTTTTACAGAAAACAACAAAGAATTCAATTTGCTTGCAAATTTTTGCGGTAAAACTCTGTGACTCGTCACTAAATAAGAAAATAAAAGGGGGAGAAGCATTTAATCACTGACAAACTGCCTGAACTGGACAGCCGCTGTACCGCCACGTGCACTAATGTTACGCAGCACACGCATGTGATCATATAGATGATGTGAATATGCTGCAGTTGGATAGAATGCACTCCAGTTGCCATCTTTCTCCGCTCGGCCGCCTGTTGAACCAGAGAGACGGACCTCGATGCCACTAAGCGAAGCGCATGCATTCGTGATTCGTGTTGACAATCACAGTGGATTTCTACAAACCGCTCAAGCCGAGTGTGTTTTCAACATCGTTGCGGCGTGTTTTTTGTATCGGCTGTACTTAAGCAGTCGGCTTATACCTCAAAGACATTGTGAAAAGGCCAAAGTCATTATTATCCCAACCCGTTCTTTCCGCCGACGTGCTGTGAGTGCTTGAGCGGTTAAAATGCAATTCACGGCCCCGGTGGTATTTACGTTCCAAACTAAAGGACTAAGCACAGCAGAGGAGCTCGTGGCGTTTGTCCACCTGCCACGTCGCTAAAAAGATACGACAAACCTGCATCAAAAGCCAAACCACTTGCAGACACGTTTTCTTGATTCAACTTTATTTGTCCGGCATGAAGGTAGAAATACTCGAGTCATACAGATGATTGCTTCACGTCATTGTAGCTGTGTTTGTGCAACTTGATATGAACAGAGAACAGAAAGCAGTAGCAAAACAGTGTGTTCAGATCTTATGCAACTTTTGCGGACGGGTGAGAAAATGTGACACTTCCTCTGTGGTGATCCTCAACTTCTGATTCTGGCTGGTTTTGGGAAGGAGCTCATCCGCATGCCACGCCGCACTAGCAACAAGCGGGTAACCATGGATACGCTGCATTGGAAACCAGTGTTTGTCTTTTGTCTTCGCCAAACCTCCCGCTCTCCTTTTAATGATTCCTCTTGAACCCCCTACCTGCATTTTTCCTCCTCCCTCTCTCTCTCTCTCGCCCTCCTTCTACACCTCTTTTCAGCATTCCTGTCTGCAGCTGCAGAGCGGCTGCCCCGACTACAGTGAATCGATTCTCAACCCACAGTCACCATGGCAACAAAGGGGGCAAAACTAATAAAAGAAAAACAACAACAACATCCCCCCCCTCATGCTCAGACAGTGGTGATCTGGTCCACCACCCGCGTGCTGTCGTTCATTTCCACGCACTCCACCTCCTGTCTCTGCGCCTCTCCGTCGGGCCGCTCCCCCCGGCTCTTGGAGGGGGGCAGGAAGGTGAGGAGGGTGGGCAGGAACGCCAGCGTGTGCAGGGCCGAGCAGCCGGCCGTGAGGGCGAGGCAGCGGAACAGTGTGTGTGTGAGGTTGGAGCGCACGGTGCCGACGGGCACCAGGGCGGCGCCGTAGCAGATGAGCGTCTGCAGGGAGGGCACCCCGTGCCTCTCCAGCGCCACCCTCACCCAGCGAGTCCGGCTGTCGCCCCGACCCGAGGAGAAGCCGCAGAGGAGGGGGCCGCTGCAGTCCGCCGAGTGTCCCAGGGCCGAGATCAGACACATCACCGACATGCAGTCCAGCTCCACGCCCCACAGGGTCATGAAGCCCAGCACCCCGAACTGGACGGAGAGCACCGTGAGGCCCAGCCACACGGAGACCAGCGGCTCCACCACGGCCAGCGAGGACAGGCCCAGCAGGAAGAGCACCGCCAGCAGTGAGTGTCTGAGGGGGGAGCTGACCGCCGCCGCGTAGCGGTCCAGGTAGACGAAGGAGGGGTTGAAGATCAGGAAGCGGACGCGGGAGGTCAGCGACAGGCGGCGCAGCGTGTCCAGCAGCACCGACATCTCCTCGCGCTTGTTCTCCGTCGTCTTGGCCACCAGGAAGATCCGGGACGCCGCCACGTCGGGCTCCTCCCCCCCCCCGCCGCGCTCCGCGAATATGATGTCGTCGGCGAAGTGGGCGTACTGCGGCTCGCGGAGGAAGCCGTGGCGCAGCGTGTTGGTGAAGTTTTCCCGCGGCTGGCTGGTGGACTGGTTGCGATCCGTCAGGTAGTTCAGGTAGGCTTCCAGCCAGCTGATTCGCTGGAAGCCTTTGGCGTACTCCAGCAGGTCCCGCTGCACCGAGGCGTTCCAGTAGGGGGCGCTTTCGTAGATGTAAAATCCAATGACGGGGGAGTACGAGCTGAAGTAGCGCTGCTGGGCCCGGGTGTACAATACTGTGGCGGTGTCCATGGCAACCAGTGCACTGGGGTCTGAACCCTGGGTCACCTGTTGATTACAGAAACATAATTGCAAAAGGAGAATCTGGACTATCGTTATATGTGCATTTGAGCACATCCCTCAAAACTCAAGAAAATAATAATTCCTAACATGAACTCTTGACGAAAGATGTATGTAAATGGAGCCAGCTTTAACAGTTTACAAAATCACCTTTATGCAGTCTAATGCTTGTTTGCTAAATAATTTCCCCAAAATCTCACTATTAGCAACAAACCTACAATACAGTTGCATGCTTGCGTAAGAATTACATTCAACAATTATATTTCTTGATTTAAACATTTTAAATGGTAATTGAGATTTAGGATATCTGGCGTGGTTAAAATTTGAAACAAAAGCAAATTAAAGCACTGAATCACTAAATGGTGCTAAACACTATTGTATACTAATTTGGACTAATTTTGATTTGTAGTAGTTAAAATTAAATTAAAGTTAAATTATACATTGTTATTTCAAAATTAGGAAACTGCATTATAAAACCCTACAATTTCTGTAGCTTTTGTTCATTCATGTGTGCTCGTCATATGTAGTCATGACGCTTTTATTCTGAAGGTTTCATGCTGACGCATTTATTTTAGGAGTTCATTTTCCACGGCCCCTTAAATTGTGGTCACGTTAACCTTCGGTCTGATGAAATTATCCTCTCCTACGAGAGGAATATGAAGTCACGAAAGTGCTAAAATAAATAACTAGATAAATATAAATATTGGGCAAACTGTCTCAATAAGAAACTCTTTTAACAAAATGACAGTGTTTTGTGTTTTTGTTTGTTGTATTGTTGGCTCACCTGCAGGAAGCCCATCAATCCAAAGGAGATGTAAACCAGATACAGCAGAACCACAAAGGGTTTGACATAGGTGTTGGTGATCCAGTCGCCATAGCAACGCCTCACGCACCCCAGCAGAAGGTGAGAGTCCTGAGGATTAGGGTCCATGTTCGCTGTGGGATGCGTGAGCGGGTGCGGGTGTGGATGGCCGTGTGTGGAGTTGGCGACGAGTCCACCCGCCGCCGTGTTGTTCGCCGCGTGCGCGTGCGTGTTCGTGAGGCTGGAGTTTGCCGCGTGGGCGTGACCGGGATCGACCCCGTGCGGCGGCGGGTTGGCCGCGGGCGCCTCGTCCTGGTAGCGAGTGTACATGAGACACCTGTACCAGGCCGGTTTGGAGTCCAGCCGGTCCGGTTTGGGGACCCGCCGGCAGAAGCAGCCGTGTCTGTACCCGGTCTCCAGGTATCCGGTGAACACCAGACAGGAGCTGTAGAAGGACAACATGTAAACGTAGCTGATGGTGACGGCCAAGGCGGCGGTGCGGCAGAAGAGGCGGACGGCCTCCATGTTGGTGAGCGGCGAGGCGGCCAGGCCAAGGGTCATCAGGTGGAGCATGGTGGAGCCGGAGAGCCGCAGCATGACGTCCTCGAAGACGCTCGCCACGCGCTCCTTCACATGCTGGTCCTCCCGGGTTCGTCTCCATGACGACAGCATCTCGAAGGAGCCGAAGAGTCCGTGACCTTATGGAAAAACCAATAGGAAAGGCAGCTGAGTTAAATCAATAGTTTCCTATGGGGGGGGTGCTCTATATGACCTTTTTAATTAGGGATGACTAGTGTAACAACAACTGAACAATGGATTAGGTGCAATATAAAAAGGCGGCTCGTGAGGATAAATCCACAATCATTATTTCCTGAAGCACTGTGGAGATTATAAACTCCTTTCAGCTCATCGATTCGGTTTTACAATCCAACGTCTTTGGATTCGACACCGAGCAATCTCTTCCTCTGCCAGTAATGTCTCGCTTGCACCCTTCGATTTATTAATTTTTAAGGAATCACAACGTTGCATAAGGAGGCGTAATCGCTCAGCCCGCTTGCTGCTCCATCCTGTTTGAACTAGAAACGGTAAAGTGACAGATGTAAGACACCGAGGCGATGCAATTTGAGTTCTAAAATGCAGTCGATACAGATGAAAAATGCAGAAGTAGAACAAGTTCAAATAAAAAACAAAGTAATGTATAGATATGTACCTTAACGCGTGTAAAGAATGAGATTTTTTAATTTATTGTCCGCCAATCGCGTCCGTTTGAGGGGATTCAAACGCACCCCCTCATCGAGCATTTCCAGTCCCGTGTTCATCCGCGTACATGTTTATGAACGTGCACACAGATGCTTTGTAATGGTTTCCTCTAGCATGGTTGCCATGGCATCCATGAGTCACCAGTGGCACACGAACCCCCTCCCGAACCCACCCACCCCCCTTTCCATTGACCTCACCAAGGCGAAACACTTAGCGCCTTAGCAGAGGCGTAACATGCCGCCACTTTAAGCGTGGGTGCAACTGAGAAAGTGTGCAGACCTGAGAGTGTGTGTGTAGCTGTGTGTGTGTGTCTGTGTGTGAATGGAAGGAGGAGAATTACACGACCAATGACAATGGAAGAGGTGCTCACTCTGTTGCACACAGAAGATGGGAGACAAACGAGCAGCTCGAGGATCTAGATATTTAGACGGGCTAAAGTGCACACGCGTCACATTGAGACACGTCCGAGCACTCGAGAAATGACCCGTTAGAGAAGTTGTGTCTTTCTGTAAGAACCTTTATGTTCCTGTTACATTTGAGATACGCAAACCCTGATCAGTGGATAGTTTTCAATGCCGGTGTGATAATGATGTGCAAACACAGAAACAGAATAATTATTTCTGTCCTTCACATCGTCATCTCATCTTCAATTCATTGCGCGAATATTTATACATTTTTTGATTTAGTTTTAAATAAACTGGTCCTCTATTTAACAAAGTAAAAATAACTTTAAAGTGAGCAAAATACTGAAGATATAAATTATTCATCTTTTCTCCCTCCGTCTTTTATAAATGCTCTTGTTTGTTTTTGGTCCCAGCTTTGAAGGTGAACAAGAAAACATTTCTTCCGTCTGATTTTACAGGGGGAAGATGTAGATGATTGACATAAATCTCCCTCTTTCGTAACAGCGTGATCACATCCTTCTTTCTTGCCTCCCACCTCCTTCAGTCCACCCACTTAGGTCCTGAAAACCCCTCCCTGCCTTCCCCCCATCCTTCTAACCAGACGTTTAACTTCATTTTCTGCTCAGAGAATCTTCATCTCAACCCCTCGTTCGGCGTGATACTTCATCGAGCCCCCTCTCGGTCTCTATTCCCCCGTCTCCTCTGTTCTCGCTGTGGTTATTTTAAGCCCAACAGCAGCCTTTCCTCCTCCACATTACAGAGTAATTATGGTATAGACTACATGTGTAGTGGTCACATGCAGCACATCCTGCAGCACTTCATGAATGCGCTAAACTGCGAGTACGCCTTCACACGGACGCTAGGAATTTTTGCTTCTCGTTTGTTAAACTCTTCCCTGAATTTATTTCACCTTATTAAGTGGTGCGATCGATCCGCATTTAATACATTTTCTTCATTTCTTTATTAAATTGTGCGCATCTGCTGTGATTCACATCCATTGAGTCACACTTGGCTGCTGTTTCTAATGCCACAGGAATCCATTGCCTGAAATGGCCTTACCCTGATCTGATTTGTAGTTGGTATCTGAAGAGAGGGTTAGTCTGCGACGCCGCCATAAAGGTCGGATAATGGTTTGTAGGATGTTACGTGTCGCAGGTCTTGAATGGACGTTATGCACATGTGGCCCTTTATTAAAGTCAATACTTCTCAATGCAAACTAGCGTGAAACCTTCTGGATCCAGCCCCTCAACAAACCCGTATTAAGTTCCTGCCATGCCTCGCCACTTTAAAAGATCTGTCTACATTGACATGTCCGCCCGAGGCTGGCATCTGCAAAACCCATCACAGTTACTGAGGAAGCATTCGGTGAACACTGGCAGTCTGGGATATAAAAAGCGATGATAATCTTCACCGTGGCTCACACCTGCCATGTGTTGACTTAGCTTGTCTTCGGTTTATTTGGGATCTGAACTCCTTGTGTTTTATTGAGCTTCTTTATTTTATGACTTCCATGAAGTCACCAGCCATAACTGCTCAAAAACCCTGAACTGAGCCGCCGTGTTCCAGACAATTGGAAGCTGAAGACGTGGACATAAGGAGTAATAAAGACTCAAAATACCAAACATGTTGTGTGTATTTTGCATTTAACCCTCAAACGTATTTCCTTCAAACCTACCGAGCATGACGAAAGGGATGCCCAGGTACGTGGAGTTGTAGGTGGCGCCGGTCAGGTTGAGTATCCCGGCAGCAGTGAGGCCGGACAGCGTGATCGACAGCAAAGCCAGCAGTCCCAACCAGGGTTTAGACCTCACACAGTCCCTCATGGAGCAGCACAAGACGACCAGCACGCTGCACGCCCCCAAGCTGGCCAACAGGGGCTGGTGCGCCAGCACCGAGGAGAACTGGAAGTCGGTCCTCAGAGAAGAGGAAGTCGAAGGGTACAGCCCCAGCTTGGGGTGCAAGGCTGCAAAGTGTTGTAACTCGGCACAGAAGGCCTTCTCCCACTGGCTGGCCACCCGGTCCATCAGGCCGCCGCGGGCTTGGAGGTAGTAGGTGAGCTGCAACGCCCGGGCGGATCGCACACCTTCGCCCCGGGCTCCCGTGCCCTGACCTCGCACCGCCCCGTTGGGAGCCCAGCCCTGCACGCCGCCCAGCTGGTGGCCGATGTACGCCTGCCGTCCGTCCGCCAGCTCCGTGATCGGGTAGCGCAGGGGCGGGACGGAGCTGTTGGAGGTGCGCGCCGACTGGATCTCCTCCATGGCGCGGATGATGTCGTCGATGATGCAGACGTTCTTGTCGTCGGGGAGACAGAGGTAGGAGAAGGAGTAGTTGAAGCTGTTGACACCGGTGGCCGGGACCGTCACCTGCATCTGGTAGATCCGCTTGTGGAGCTGTAAGCGGAGAAAACGCACACATGCGAACACAAACACAGGGAAGACGTTTCCCAGCGGTCCAATTTAGTTCGAATGAACTCAGGTAAGGGCATAAAAAAAAGAAAAAGTGTGTCCTTCGCTTACTGTGTGTGTCTGTGTGAACACGGAAGGGAGATATGCGGGAGTGCGTGTGCCTTTCTCCACACAGAAACAATAGTAGCCACAGAATCCTCCTCCGTTTCTATGGCGAAAGGACAACAGTGCCAGCATCCACAGAGACGGTTGCTAAGCAACAGGCCTGATGCCAGTCTCTGCCACAGCGAAACATGGGCAGAGCCGTCTCCCACCTCAGAGTGCTGCATTGACTCCAGAGAGGGAGTGTGTGTGTGTGTGTGTGTGTGTGTGTGTGTGTGTGTGTGTGTGTGTGTGTAGGAATGTCTCATGATGAATGATTTGTAGTTCATTCAACGTACAGACCTGCTGGAAAATTGATCAATAGCTCATTCCGTTTGCTCATTCCGGTGCTTTTAACTGCCAAAAGATAAAAATATGTCCTGGTAGGACCTCAAAGCTCCCGATAAAGTGCGTCAGATTAATAGATTTAAGTAATTATAATGAATTCTTCTATTATCAACATTTGAACACAGATTGCATCTCTAACTTTCTTTTTAGATAATTCTGATTTTTCAGATAATTGAACAGTTTCACCTGATGGTGAAACTGTGAAAAGTCAGGCACCACTAAAGTCAATAGGCTTCAGCCTCTGGGGATCACGACTGTCTGAACATCTTAGGAAAACGTATCTACTCAATGTCGAGATATTTGATATTTGATCTTGCCTGACGAGATCCCACCAAGGCAACACCCCCCCGCCCCCCCGTTTTAAGGAGCGGGAAGCGTGTTTGGACTCACAATGCCTGACAGCCAGTGATTAATCACACTAAGAACAGACTGACCACACTTCAGTCATCGTGTGTGACCCACGAGTCTTACCTGCTCAAAGTGGGGGTCCTGTCTAGTACCTTGTTTATCGCTGCTGTTGCTGTCTCCTGCGACAAGTTCAGCTACTCGCAGCACTGGCAATTTGGGAAACGTAGGAGCTCACAAACCGATGGACTAGGAGACGAGCCGAGAAAGGAATCCATCTTGAACCTCCCAGATGAAATCATTATGTAACAATTTCCTTCTCTTGGATGCATCAACTTGTCCCTCTCTCTCTCTCTCTCGCAAAGCCCTAAACTAGTCTACTGTGGCAGTCGTCCATGGGCCAACGCTGCTTACTTGTAAACTGGGTCGCAATAACCAGATGTTAGACACAACGGGCGGAGGGCATGCACACACAGGGTCCTACTAGTCTGCAAGCTCTGATTACATCCACACAACTCCATGAAATACTTTGCATGATTGCTCCGGGGGTGTCATACCAACGCTCATAAATCCATTAGGAAAAACTAACGCGGAGGCAGAGGCCTCCGAGCTGCAGCTAACCCCACTTTGTAATTAAAACGCTCGGCTTCATAACCATTAAGGTTGTTGGGAGTTGTTCGAAATGGGACTGTGTTGCTGCGTTTAAAGCCCATCAATCACAGAGAACAAGGAGCAAGACAGCCTGCATGTGTGCTCCGGCCTGCAGACGCCATCCTCACCGCTGTAAATGGGTCTGTAATTGATTCATTCTGGTGAGTGGGATCCTGTGGAGCGATTGCATCCTTCTTTACAGAGATTTAAATAGCGCCGAAGCTAAATTGTCAAATATTCCACCTTCTTGGTATAAACATTGGTGGGGGTTGGCGGTGGCGCGTGGGTAGCAAGGGTGCGCTGGGAACCTCAAGGTTGGTGGTTCGACCGCCGGCTCTCTCCGTGTCCCTGAGCAAGACATCTAACCCCTAATTGCTCCCCGGGCAAAAGTGAAATTGCAAAGGGGTTAAAAAAAAGCAATGGATAAAAGCGCCAGCTAAATGTAATGTAATGATCTTTAGTTGGCTTAATCAACTAAAGAGTGCTTAATCACTGATTGTGAATAATTGTGTGTGTTCCAGAGTACATCAACTGAAGATGTAGCTCCAGACCACATGATGTCCCTTATAATAAGCATTTTGATTACCTTCAGAACGGTATCCAGGTGAACCGGGTCCAGCACGCTCCCCTTTCGGCTGGTGACGATCACGCGCCCGTAGCGGCCCGGCGTCTGCAGGTCGGAGTAGAGCGCGTGCTTGGAGCGGTTCACGGGGAACAGGCTGTCCACCAGGTTGCCCTCTATCTTGGCCAGGCTGTGCTTCGGGGCGAGCAGGCTCCCCACGTCCTCCTCCACGCGGTACCGGCTGAAGCTGGCCCCCAGCAGGATGGAGAGGAGCACGGGCGCCGACGCGAAGAACACCGGGTGGCTCGCCACGAACCGGCCGAGCGCGTGGAACGAGGTCCTCAGGCCTGCGTGCAACACCTGGCGCAGCATCCTAGCGCGCGGCCGCGGCTCGAGCCTCTCCCACCGACCGGAAAGCCCCGGAGCACTGGCGAGCATCAGGGGCTGCCGGACGCATCGGCGGGCTCCGTCGCTCGCGGTCTGCCGGAGGAGAGGTGACGCCAGTTGGGGGCAGGATTTGTCCCCCCGAGCAGGAGGTCACCAGCCGGGGAGAATCCGACCCTCCTCCGGTCACGAGGGCGCCTCTTGCCCCGGGGTGCGCTCATCCGCCGGAGGAGCGCAAAGAACAGTAAGGCGGCTAAATGAGCAAGCGCCCCCCCCCCCAACCCCCCCGCTCTGCGGTTACAGCAGGGGCATACCGGGAGCCTCCTCTACGGTTAACCGCCGCCGGTGCGCTCAGCCCTCCGCGAGCTGCATGGCTCTGTGCGCAACTGAAGAAGAAGAAAAAAAACGCAGAGCCAAAGTGGTCTCGCCGGGTTTCCTCCTAGAATCCGGCTAATTATCGGAGCACTTTGTGTCGGTGCACTCGGACAGGTTGCAGGGAAGACGCACGGCGGTTACAATGACCTGAACCCAGCCTGCACATACCCGGTAAAGGGAACCGGGGGGCGGGGGGGGGGCGGGGGACAGACCCGGTGATGACGGAGATCGTAAGACGCATTCAGACCAAAAGATGTTTATCCTCCCCTACTGTCCAGCGCGTCCCCCTCCCCTGCCTCCTCCCCCCCCCCCCCCTCCCCTCCTCAAGTCACCACAACCTGACGGGTGTCCGAGGTGGGTGGGTCCGTGTGCGAGTCGCAGGATAGGTGACGCCGCGTGGATGCACCGGGGATGCCGGTGAGAGCCTTTTTCAAAATCAGCTTATTCTGGGCTCCTTCTGCGGCAGAGGGCTTCCTGTGTTCCGCCCCGTCCCCCCCCCCCCCCCCCTCCGCTCATCGCCCCGGTGGTTCATCCGCCGCCGGGCTGCTCTCCCAGCAGCGTCACTATAATCACCGGCTTTCAAACCGGGGACCGTTTCTATGTCTCTCTCTCCCTCTCTCTCCCTCTCTCTCTCTCTCTCTCTCTCTCCCCCCCGCTGCGAGTCCCCGTTTTTCGGCCCCGCCTCTCCGGCGCTCCGCTTCAATGCAGAGAAACAGACACTCAGTCATGATGAGCGCGTGAATGCTTTCTAGGAACTATAAAAACACAATTTGGGCCTATTTAAAGCCCAGCAGTGACATTGGTGCCCTATTTCATCTTTAGTATTCACAAACAATAACATATGATGGGTAAAACCAACAACGAGTTTCCATAATAGCCTTTAGTACATTATAAACCTACTGAATTTTGAAAACATATTACACATTACACTACATTTTTAACACTAAAATGGCAGATGTTATTCTGTGACATCCACGCAACTCATAGGGACACTTAATAGTGTATATAGATATGTGATTAAGTGTCCTCCTCATCCGTGCTGCAGAGGAGTGAAGCATCCCTTAGGCTAGCCATTGTGTAGCACGTTGCCATGGAAACCAGCTAAATTACTCTTTTTATTACAAGCCCTGGTTCCCATGGCAATTGTGATGCCACCAACCCCACAAAAAAAACACATACGTAGACAGTAGTGCACACATAACACATTACACACACACACACACACACACACACACACACACACACACTACGCACACCCTCAATGCGCACACACACAAACACACACACACCTGCTGACTCCCAATCTGCTTATGGCGTAGAGGTGTCTGATACAGTGACACTAAAAGCAAAAGAGACAGAGACAGAGAGAGAGAACGATCAGAGAGTGGAAGAGATGTGGAGATAATAATGAGTGTAGACAGCTTGAGATCACACTCTGCCTGCCTGTCTGTCTCTCTGTCTCACTGCCTCTGTCTCACTGCCTGCCTGTCTGTCTCTCTGTCTCACTGCCTCTCTGTCGCTCTGTCTCACTGCCTGTCTGTCTGTCTCTCTGTCTCACTGCCTATCTGTCGCTCTGTCTCACTGCCTGCCTGTCTGTCTCTCTGGCTCACTGCCTATCTATCTCACTGCCTGCCTGTCTGTCTCTCTGGCTCACTGACTATCTGTCTGTCTATCTGTCTCACTGTCTATCTGTCTCACTGCCAGACTGAATGTGTAACTAACACTCAGTCGATCTGCCTGCATGTCAGACAAACCGACTGCCTGCCCGACTGACTAAATGTCTCACTGACTGCCGGGATGTCGGTCTGTCTCACTGCCTC